CACACACACACACACACACACACACACACACACACACACACACACACACACACACACACACCACAGAATTCCTAAGGGCCAGGCCATGATCTATGTCTTAAGATGCTCTGTTTGAGCCTCTTTCAGCAGACGCAGGAGACGGAGGTCCAGCAGAGGTCTGACGATGTTGTTCAACTGCTTCTGTTAGAGAAATCAAAGCGCGATGAGACCAGAGCACCAGTCACAGCGAGTGTCACCCCCGCTGTCTGGTTTTGTTGTGAACGTGAGCAGGCGTTCAGTGAAAGCAGCAGTCTCGTATTAATGATTAGCAGAAACAACAGCCCAGACAGAGCACTGATGCCTTTGCAACGTGACAAAGGCCAGCAAGGTCCCAGGTTTGCTCCACACAACAGACAAGCTCTCCAACCCACAGCTTCATACGGGGAAAGTAATAACACTTATTTACAAATTCACAACCATGTAAACAATAATTATGGTATCTAAGATGTTTTGGAAAGGCTCGTGCTTGTGATGTTTTGCAACTTGTTCAAAGGAGACACTGAAGTCAGAATGGGATTTGTACAACAAGCAGAAATCTTAATAAGAGCTAAAACAATCTGTCACTACTCAGATACCGGATCACAATTATTTTATATTAGAATATTTATATCCATAGTTTTAATTTCTGAAAAGATCTTGAAGAGATTTGGAATCAATTTGCTTTGTTTTTGGTTTAGCAGTAAACAAGTACAAATCCCTTCTAAAGGGCAATCAAGCTCAAAATCAATCATGCCATTTTTTTAGTCAACTTATCTACCAGGGACTGCACGGTGGCACAGAGCGTTGCCTCGCAGCAAGGATGTCCTGGGTTCAACTCTGAGCTGGGGTTATTTTGAGTGCTCTTTGTATGTTCTCCCTGTACATCTGTGTGGTTTCTTCAGGTACTTTTGGTTTCTTACCACAGTTCAATAACATTCATGTTGGGTTGTTTAGCTATGTTCAAAGAAGGGCATGTCAATACATGCATAAGTGAAGGTGCTTTTACTACAGCAACATTAATGCAGTTTTAATAGTGTGGGTGCTGGAAGAGCATTTAATTTACTTGGCCAATCAACATACATTTATGTATGAACCAATCACATCTTCTTACATCACCTGAGAGTCTCCTTTGAGCCAGGAAAGCACCCACTCTGAAGCAGGAGCTAAAGGAGACCAGATGTACAATGTCACAAGGCCTACAACTGCACCACCAATGCAAAATCAAAGAAAGAAACTGGTTTTAGGACTTTGAACTGGTGCCCTGCAGACTGAAAGCACCTCCTACAAGAACATTTCTGTGATTTTGAAGCGATGCTTCTTTTAGTTTCATAAAGAAACACTTGAATTCCCTTAACGGTTAAGCACTAGATTCAACATTTTGTATTAAATGATTTTGAAAGGGGACTGGAAGTACTTGTAAAAAATTGGGCTAAATGTAATTATATGTAAATTGGACTTTATTTTTTCTGCATAGCGCCCTGGGTTGACTTCTGCTGTAATACGTTGATAGTTGGCAGCTGGTTTGGCCTATTACTTGCTTAGAAAGTTCTCTTAGCTGACACCTAATCTAAAACATCTGATTGTAATTTCATAGATTTTAACGTGTGACATGCATAGGTTTGAACTTACATCCACCATGTGGTTATTTGTTTAAATATGTGGAAAAAACTTTAAGAAAAAAATAGTTTCCTTGGGATGAACAACCCCCACATCTATAAAAGTTGGGATGTTTATAACAATGTACATCAACTCCTACATTGCACACTTGCAAAACCTTAAATACTAAGTCTAGTAAAGTTTCTCCATTTCTTCTCACGATACGTAAAAGATGTTTAACATCCTGTTCTTAGATTTAAAATGTTTTGTTGAGAAAGAGATGAAGATCACAAAAAAAGTACTTGGCACCTTCTGTTTCTTAAGTTTTAAAGTTTATTTTTCAAAAGTTTAGCTCTTTGCAGTCTTCGTATTTTATTTTATTCGCATTTTCTGATTTGGGTTTGAAGAGGTTTTTTCAATGTTCTTTCTGTATCTTCAGTGGCTGATGACTTCAGCCATGCTGGAGCGTCTATGCGTTGCTCAGTTCTGTGGTTACATGATGCAGGATGATTAAGCTGCTGTATTGTACAACTAAACCAACACACATGTCAAGCAAGCGCTTCGTGAAAGGAAAAGAAAAAGTACAACACTCCAGTTGTGTTCCCGCTCGTAATAAATCAAGGCATAAAAAACGAACCAAGAAACACCGAAAATGTTTAAAAGATAAATAAACTAAATTTGTCTCAAATGTGTCATTCTTGGTGAGTGAGGCTCAAGTTTCCCCAGTGACCTCTCCACAAGAGTCTATTTCTGCCCAGTGCAGAAGTGGGATCTAAAATGTCGAGCATGTTCGGGGTGGGGGTTGGGGTTCTGTTTGCTATTCCCGTAAGTCTCCTAAAACACCACACAGATCTCTCACCATAACTACCCACGGACCACCACGCCCTGCTCTACACAGCTGCTCACTCTGCTTTCAGTACTATTCTAGTTTTGTTGAGCCATCGTTAAAACTGATTTGTACGTATTTCAGTATGAATGATGGAATTTA